AAAAAAGCAGCGGTCCAAGAATTGACCCCTGCGGAACACCGTGTTTGATCTTACCCCACTCTGAGGTCCTCTTAACTTTTACAGAGTTCTCTTCAATAAGGACTCTTTGATATCTGTCTTTAAGATATGATTTCATTAACAAGTTAGCACTTCCAGTAATCCCATAAAATTCTAATTTCTTCAATAATATATCGTGATTAACACTGTCGAATGCCTTTTCTAAATCACAGAATATACCTCCCACCACAGACTTGCTGTTCCATGCTTGTAGAATGTACTTTAATAAAGTAAATATGGCTTTCTGAGTGGAGGAATTACTTCTAAACCCAAATTGATCTGTAGATAATATATTATTATTAACGACATGTTCTAATAATCTTGCTAGTATAACTTTCTCAAATATTTTTGAGAAGGATGTCAATAGTGAAATTGGTCTATAGTTCTTAATATCTTTTTTATCACCCTTCTTATAAATTGGTTTTATTATGGAATATTTCAATCGAGATGGAAATTTACCTGATAAGATTACTCTGTTGCAAATATAATTTAATGGGGCAACAATATATGGAGAGCTTATTTTTAGTATTTTGAGGGAGATTTCATCGTATCCAGATGAATTTTTAGGTTTGAGATCTTTGATTATTTTTGCAATCTCCTTAGTCGATGTCCGTTTCAGATCTAGTTTTGGAAAAGGTTTCTTAAAGGCTTTGAAAAGGTAGTCCATACAGTTCTTATCAGGAATATCATTCCTATTTATATTAGATCTTATTTTATCTACTACAGAGAGAAAATAATTCTGGAAAACATCAGCTATATCACTGCGCTTTTCTCTTGGAGTCTCTGAATTATATGCATCTATGATTTAAATGATAATGATAATTATGATTTTAAATAAGCCATATATACACACAAACACAAAGATGCTGGACATACTTCCTCATGTACAGTTTACCTTATTTACATTACCTTGGAAATGAAGCTGACTGTTGCTCAATGGAGCTGTGTTACTGAATAATGAACAACAGTGAAGCCCATCTAATTACTAAAGCTGGCTTTGACAGATGAACATTTTGCATCTGGGTCTCTACTGTGTGTACCATAATGGGCCTCAAAGTACCACCTGTGCACTTTTATTTGGGAAAGTTGCTGAAATTTGATCACAACTGGTAGAGCTGTTTTCAAGAAAATCATTTTATTTCTTGGACCTAGAATGTTCACGTTCACTGGGCACCAATATACGACAGATACTGTCAAACACTAATTACCAATAAGGACGCAATTGTTCAAGTAAGGTGCATGTATGTGGAGACACTCAGGCTGTATTTGAAAACCCTGCTTTTCTGTATTCAGAGGGCTTCAGAATGTGTACATCTGTCAACATCTGAAAATTATTTTCTTTCACAATCACAGTACTATCTAATGTATACTAACTACATTTATAACAAAGAAGTTTTATGTGTGTAACATTGATCGCTGTCATTATGCAAATTTATGTTATGACAGCCGTGAACCCTTGCTCATTAACATGCTGCATACATATGTAAATTACACAGTATACATGTGAGTCAGCTATGTTGTGTGTTATTGGTGGGAGATGGCATTCGATAATAAGTGGCACTGGTAACGAATACAGGAGAAAGGGAGAGTCATTAGCATGAAACCTTGAACAGAAAATGGTAACACTTTGCATTTCATTCTAAATGGCCGTTCTACGCTTACAGCTCCTATTTTCCAACATGTTCCCTAGGCTACATTCCCACTATCTAAAATTGATCAGTCCAAATATCGAAGTCTTGTCTGCTGTGGCTATATATATCATCTCAGTCTCGGAGCACAGAAGCTGAGAGAGCCAGTCTTCCCCTGCAATGCCTAAAGAGAAATACATGATAATCAAACACGCTATATATCAGTTACATAAACATTATATTTCTCACTGTCTCTGGTGTATTTCATACACACTGTGTTGTACAAACCAGATCTCGGACATCAGCCTATGTCAAATATAGCACAGACAATGGAACATGTACAATACAATACCCATATAAGGAATTGACCATAGTCACAAACCTTCAGAGAAAGAAACTATGCCAATATATGTAGTACACTCAAGACTCTAGTCTTAGGCACCAGATTTCAGAGCATGTCTCCCAGTTCCCGTCGTAATGCCTGCTCTTTTCTGCGCTCCTTGTTGCGCAGTGCCTCCCTCTTGCGCCTACTGCCAGTGTTTGTCTTCTGCTCCACTGGAAAGGCATGCGGCTTGAAGTGCGTCACTCGTGCCTTCTCTTTGGTGTCAGCCCCAAACCCTTTCCTGTCACATTTCAGCACTGTCTTCAGTGGAAACTTATGCCCTGATCCATCAGGTCCAAGCCCTTTCTCCCTGTCCCAACCCCGCTTAAGAAGAATCTGGTACCCCTTGTTACTTGTTGGAATGCCATACATAGTTGGTACTGCAACCTGTGGCCTAGAGCTGAAGAGGTGAACTGTGGATGTAGCATGCTGCTCCCTGCTGGTACTATGAAAATTCTGCTTGCATGATTCACAGTAAAATTCAACATGCCTAGTTTGAGATGGTTGACTCTCTGCTTCAGTCTGCCTGTGGCCCTCTGTGATTGCCTGCACGACTTCATGGTGGCCGTTTCTTCTTGCAAGAGACAGGCAAGTGTTCCCACTCTTGTCTCTTAGACTTACATCAGCTCCACAGGAGATGAGGAATTTCACAACCTCCACGGCACCAGCACAAGCTGCAGACATAAGTGCAGTCCACCCATACTGGTCCGTCACATTAACACTGCAACAGGCGGAAAGTAAAGCAGTCACTTCGGCAACGCGGTTTCTCTGAGCCTCCCTCATGAGAGCATTCACTAACCTTGCTCTGTCTTGGGATTTCTTTATCCTTACACAAGGTTCTACAGAATTAACACAAGCACTTGTTTTCTTGCTGTGTCCTGAGCTTATCGTTGGCTTGTTTTCAGGATAAATATCTGAACCGACAATTTCCTCATAAATATATTTCGCTTCTTGTCCAGTTAAATGATTGCCTGATTTTACCTTTTTGTTCTTTGTATCTTCTTCGATTTGTGAACAACCTTCCCTAACAAACTGTTTCCACGAAAAATCAACAGTTGAAGGAGCTTTCCAATCTGGATGTAAAGCCATTGCAACACCACACGAGATTCTACATTTGATTCTGCAAAATTTTCTTTCCACTCACCAGCTACTAGTTTCGCCATTCCCATTTACAACCAGGTGCGTTCAGGTATTCGCTCTTGTTCTAAAATTCACTAGGTTGAGGTTTAATCGCTGATTATTTCACAGGCACTAGTAGAGTACATTACTTCTTTGACTTCCTCTGAACAACGTATTACGTGGCAACATTCTTGAACGAAGACAGAGAAGTGAGAAAAGTGAAGTGCGATATGGCGTTGTATTGGCAGAAACCGCGCTAATAAATACGACGCTTAGGAGAATCGCATATTTTATCTCTAGAGCAGGAGTGAGTTGGTAAGAATCGAGGTAATGTAAGTTAATTAGTTCCCGTACTATTATATCGTTAACTGATTGAGGAAATGAATTATTGATGTTTAATGTATGGGATAAAATGTACAGTGAGGCTCGTTAGAAAAAACAGAATAAATACCCAGTAGGAAAATAAAGTTTGGGTACTGTGACGCCTTTTAGTCCGGTGGAAGTTCACAGACTTTTCAGAAGAACGTGCTACTGCCATCGGTAGGGTCGAAGACTAAGCAAGAAAACAGTGAATAGTATGAAATGGGATTTAAAGAGATAACATATCTCCATTTAATGTCTGGATGAAGGTCTATAACTCCACCCTCAGATCTGCCTAAATGGCCTGGTAAAGCAGAAGAGCAGCTTTATCCCGCTTTTTAGCCGATTAAAATAATTCGTTCTGACCTACACTTTTTAATTGTGTGGATGAATTTGTATCACAAAAGAATGATTAGCAGACCACAATCAAGTGTTTAATTGCAAAAGTTTTGTTTTTTCTCGTTTATGTATGCATATGAAGTATTTTATAATTTTGGCCAGACATGTTATGTGTATAGTTGAGTAATGTGTCAGCTGAAGACTCAAAGGAGTGCTATCACACTGTTACCTGGTGGTAGACTAAGCCAAAAAGCTGACCATAACACAGCAGATATGAGTGACTGATCAGCGGAACTAAGAATCTGTGTAAATATGTAAATATAAATGTAGAATGTGTGTTATGAGGCATGTATTTTCTAAATGTATTATATTATTCCACACCCAGACATCTGTATCTGTCATGGGGAAGGACAAGAAGAAGAAGAAGGAAGAAACTGAAAGTACATCAGATTCAGGGCCTGACGATGTGAGTACATGGATGTTCGATAACAGTACTTATGTGTGGATATTTCTTTTTCCAGATTTGCACTGTCTTTATTTGTGTTACCTAGGCAGTGCAATTTTGTTTCTGGCATTGATCAAAAAGACTCCAGTATCTTAATTCTCACCTGTCCTTTATGATTTCTACCATATTTTCCTCTTATTCTTCATGGTTTCCAGTACGTGGCTGTACCGTCTTGTTCTGAGCCATCCCATAGGTCTCTTTCCAATAAATTTTAATTCTAATGGTGATCTCAGTATCCTTATTGTCATTGTCATGGCAGAATATTTATGATTGTTTCTTTTTCTATCTGTATTAACAAAATTTGAATTGCAACTCCTTTAAAAGTATTATGGAAGTGTTGCTGTCTAACACTGAGGATGCAGATGTTTTGCTTTGGTTTTGTATGAATTGTACTGAATTAAGTAAGAGATTATAATCTGTGTAACATACTTTATGTTCTGTGTGATCCCAGTATTGGATGAACATTGCTAATTTGCAGGTTGATTCTTTTGTATTCACATTTGACTAGGGATTGTTGGTTTAGTTTACGCAGGTTCTGTCCTGTTTGTGTAGTTTAAGTTAGCATATGCGAGGTTCATATTTTCAATTCATTAGTAATACATGAATTTTGTATGATGAAACTGTGTATCATACAAGTGAAAATGATTTGAGTATTGTGTTTGGTTGCATGATAACGTCAGCATCACAAAATGAATCTGAGTTTTAATATTCTCATGTTCATGAGTGTTAAGATTTTGCTTCTCTTATGTGATGCCATATAATCTGGTGGATCGGTTCCAACTTTCTGTGGGGATCCTGCTACCTCCATTTTCATTTTTGTCTTGCCTGAATCTGTCTGATATTTTATGTTTTCATGTTATTCAAAGTGATTGTCGAGAAAGATCCCTCTGCTTGCCCCTTTGTTGTTTGACCCTTAAGTCTTGGGCAGTAATGTCTACCAGCGTTGATGGTGTTACATCCATGGAGACACCGCCCTTCACACGCTCTGTTGTGAGAACCTCAAATCCAACAAACGAGAAATGCAATTTTCCGTAGAAAAAGGGGGGCAGTAGAACGTTTTCAATAACTTTTTTTTTTTGGTAATCTGTGCATGAAAATAACACTGAAGTCACTCAACTTTACATGTTGAGGGGAATCTGTTGTGCATGATGAGACAACACTGAATGAGGCTAACTGCTAACTCACACTCATCTGGCTTTCCTATTTAAAGGTAGGCTTCTGATGTTCTATGCGTGTGTGAGAGCCCATTAGATAGATGAAACACTTAATATAATGTCATGAAATATGGTATGTGTGTTGTGCTACTGAAGGCTGTCACACTGCCAGTCTGTTAAGGTGGCAGTCAAGTGAACCTTTAAAGTCAGAGTGATACAAGTGCAACCTAATGTAGGACACTGAAAGTGTAAAGCAATCTTGTTCTGATAGTTTTATGTAAATCAGTAAGTACCAACAGGGCAGTTCCACAAAATCTTTATCCAGTTTTATGTTTGATTGTAATAACAAATATAGTTAGGAATGTGAAGTGTAATATTGAAGTGGTTCGTAAATATAGATACAGAATGGATGAAACTCTCTTTGTATGTTTCGTTCTTGAAAGATGGTGATTGAGATTCTGACACTTTTTATGTAAGGGAATATTTCATAGTTGTCTTGGACTGAGGAGATTCACAAAGTTGTATAATTCTGGGTTGTAATTTTCAAGCTGTGGACTGAAACATGTAGAGGGAGAGTGAAGTCATGTGTTCTAATTGGCAGGTTACTCCTCCACCTTCAAAGAAGGCAAAGCCAAATACATCTGGCTCTAAGAGTGAAGAAGAACCGTCGTGGCTTCTTGAGAAGAATCGATTTGTAAAGGTGCGAGAGTACAGGGGGACTGTATATATCGACATCCGTGAGTACTACGATTCAGATGGAGACTTGAAGCCTGGAAAGAAAGGTGGGTGTGAATGCTGGAATAATTACATAAAATACTGTGATCAGTTAGTCATGTTATGTTTTGATATTAATATTACTGAACAGATTGTTATACAGTGCTGTTCAGGAGGTGCTCGGAATGAATCTTGGCCAGGATACTTAACCATCATGGGGTTTATCTCAGTTTTCCTCATTTCCTGCAGGAAGATTCCAGGACAGCATCTCAGTTAGGCCAAGCGTTTCCTTCTAGATCCCTTTCAATTCATAAATCATGCTGCAGAGACTAGATATTGACAGTGTCGTGTCATGTCATATTGATATCACCATTATGATCTGGTGTGTGGTACTACATTCTGGAGGGATGTGCTGCCTCGATCTTTAGGGCGGGGGAGTGAGCTGTGGGAAGCCAATAGTAAGGTGATACAGGGACTGGGGCTATGAATGGAGCAGTGTGAGCCCATGGCATTCAGAACGGCTGTTTCATTTGAAAGGGGGAAAAAGGAAAAAAATCTTCAGTGGATGATGGAAGACATAAACTGAATAAATGAGAAGTGGGGAAATGGCAGGGGGAAGGGCAAGAGGAGAAGAAAGCAGACTTTGAAAGGGCTTAGCTGGAAAGGGTAAGTTGGAGAAACCATCATGAGGCAGGACCAGTGCCACAGCATGTGACAACATGGCGCCCTTTTGAGGGGCTTTTGTTAAATTAAAGAATAATTTCCAATGACCTGTTCATATTGCAGCAGTGTAAGTGTTGGTATCCGTGCCTGGCTCTGTAATCTGAAGTGAGTGACTCCGCAGTTCCTGTGAGTGGTCCTGAAAGGTTGAGAACAGTATCTTTTCTGATTGGGAGGGGAGTGGAATTACTCATTGTCATGGCAACTTGTGCTTGCCCTTTTGGTACTTAGCAAATTATATGGCTCCACATTCCAGAAGATTGTAATCTGACTATTTTACCTCACTTGATTAGCCAGTTTTCTGGAGATCTGTTAGATCAGCTGCTTGTTTTTAGAAGCCACTGGTTTAAACCTGTTATGGTGGACATGAGCTGTTGTGTTTTGTTTTTTGTATGTTGATGGGCATGTGAGAATATGCAGTGTTACTGATGTTGCATTTAAGTTCAAATACAGCAGAAAGATGCCAAATTATCGTCAGTATATTGCTAAGGTAAAAGAAGTATAATTACTGGATCACATTCTCAGAGGCACAAAGTTCTGCAGTGTGTAATAGCAATTTTACGGTTGTCTCTTAATTTGGTCTAAATAATGCTCAGTTATGCACAGTGCCTTTTAGATGTGGGTGTACTGAGGTGTTTTCCCACATATTAATGTCAGCATCATGGCCCATGGAAATTGCCCCCAGTACCCACTTGGCAGAAGAAGGCTGGGTATGCCCCAGAGCTAGTATGGGAAGAATTCCTTTCTACTGGGAATTGAACCCTGATTCATATTGCATTCTGTACTGTAGGTACTATACTGACTGAGCTATTTGAGCCATAATTTTAGAATGTTGTGACCACATGTTAGATGGTGTCATTAACACTTTGCCGACCGCGCACTATTTAAAAGATTTTTCACTTTTAAACATGGTGGACCTTTCACCTGTTAACAGGTTTTTAAAACACAATAAGTTGCAACACGCTATACATCTCTCTGGCACCACCCAAGTTGCACACAGTGGCGTAATAAAACTCTGGAATATTCGCTTACTTATCAGTAAGTTGAGCTCGCTGTTTTCTTAAGCCACTATAAGCGATAATGCTTTGTTGCTCTTCAAGCTGTATGTATCAGCTAGTAGTTAGTGTTGGGGTATGGACAAGGACAGATTCTTTTCCGATGAGCCAGCTGACCTGCCTTGTGAGATGCGTAGTTAGGGTGTTTGAGAGAGCAGCAGTGAAAGGGGAGAGCAAAGAATTGTGGCCACAGACAGTAAAAGTGACCGTAGCTCCAACAATAATGGGAGTAATATTGCAGGGACAGTAAAAAAAATTTAAAAAATCACAAAAATCTAAACCCTGATTCAAAATTGAAATACAAAGCATTTCTGATGAATGTGGCAAAGCCCTGGGCTACAGACCAGATGGTGGTGGCAGAACCAGAGTCAGACACAGACTTAGTGCGACCGTGCCCATCCAATCCCACCCCACGCAAGCCTCATGTGGATCCCACAGGGCGACTCTCGGGTGATATGTGGAAACATACCCTCGTGAAAATTGTGAAGAGTGAACATTCCAAGGGGAAGCGTCTTTCTAGGCAATGCTGTGTTTCCACAGTTCACAAAAAGAGGAACATATCTACATTTGCAAGTTCTCTCTAATGCCTCTTCACAAAGGGGAATGTTTCCAGAAATATCACACTCTCAGGCACTTCTAGGAGCATTGGAAAGTGTTCTCCAAAAATTTTAGTTCGTAAAATTAATTAGGAAATTTGATATTAATTTTTAAAGTGAACAGTGCACAAGTTAGGGTAGTAGGTTTAAAAATGCCGGTCCTCAGGGTGATTTAAATATTTAAATCGCCAGTCCACAAAGTGTTAAGATAGTGAGACTGACCACTTTAACTGATTTGTTTTTATCTGCTATAGCAGACCCCATTGCTGGCTCGTTTTACACTTCATAATTTTTGCAGGATGGCTAACATAGTATATTTATGATCTAGAAGCTTTTTCAGTTTTGTGTGGTGCTTTATCTGCCAGCATCCACCGAGCCCTAAAGTTAACGTGATAACAAAAGCCAATGTATAAGCAGTACTGCAGTACTGTATGGCTATGAAAAGGTTAAGGTGGCTATGCTGGCTGGACATTTAGTTTGATCGGAGGAAACAGTGGGGTACAGAGTGTTAGTGTGGAATGACGCTATGGGAGGATGCCTAAATGCACTGTGGCTAAATGTTCTTTAGTTGTGAGTCAGAGTTGTGTTGTGGAACCATCANGCAGATTTACTTATACTTTTTCTTCAACCCTGAAGATGGGGGCGATACGTTCCTCCGAAACGTCGGTTAACACCACATATACACGGTGCCAAATCCCAGAAGACTGCTTTCTTCATCACATATTGTTCTGAGACAGACACTAACAGTCCTTGGTTATTGTGCTTGCTGCAGGTATCAGCCTCACGACCTTCCAGTGGCAGAAGCTTAAGAAAATAATAAGTGAGGTGGATGATGCTATCAAGGAGAGATGTTGAGCATGTGCGCATGTGTGAATATTTATGTGTGTTTACAGTACATCTGATGAAAGTTCAGGTTCATTTAATGTAACTTTCAAAATGTATGTGTTAATTTTGTGATTAAAGTACCAGATGTAGAATTGTTGTGCATTCCATGACATGAACCATGCAGCAGTCCTTCTGTTCGTTGTGATGAAGGTGTGTTTGATCTTTTTGGTCATCATGCTGAGCTGTGGCGGCCATACAACAACCCCTTTCTGCATGCTCTCAGCTCTGCCTTTAAAGGAGTTCTCACATTTCACAGTGGAATCTCCAGTTAATGTACCTTGATATAAGGCTTTCGTCCATTTAACGTAAATTTCAGTGAACAATTTCCTCCATATAAGACTTTCCTCAGTTTAGGCTGGGGCGACACCAGCGCACAAATTGTGTCCGTTGTAACGAACATACTTTATGATGGACGATGCTGAGGACACCACACAGTTGCAGAATGCGGTGCATAGTTTTTTGTCTGCAATGGAGCATCCTAATATGGATTCCATCTCTCACTGTATGAAATCTTAACTATTGTAATCTACTGTAAACAATTTTAAGTATTGTAACTTTATTCTCTTATTGTAATCAGCCAATGTACAGTAACTGACTTGTCCTATATATCATGTAACAATGATCTATAGAGACAAAGAAATAAATAGCATTGGCCTCTCCTGTTTATTTCTACAACGGATGCATTTTGTGCACTTGTGTGGACGCAGCCCTAGTGTTAAATATACACTGCTCCCAAAATAATCCTTAAATAGGGATTTCTGTTTGTTACTAAAACATCCATGACTTTCTGTCTTTTAACATTTTATAGTTATTTCATTAGTTCCATGTTTTCAGACACACAGTTCTCTCCTGCCTCTTTGTCACCATTTCCTCTTCTTGGGGGGGGGTGTTCTCATTTTCATGTGTTCCCTCTATTTTATTTAAGCATCCTGTCTATTAATGTATATTTTGTATGCAACTATTTCTGTCTAAAATGCAGATGCTCATACTTGAACACATAAAAAGATCAAAAAGTCTTTGAAAATATGGTATCCAGACAAATATTTTGGGAGTGCAAAAAATGGAAATATCCAAAAGAAAACTAACTTTAAACAAAGTTGTAATTTAACTTCAGTTGAAAAAATTACACAAAAGTAAATGTATAATAATAAAATAATATGTTAGATCTAATGTATAGGGTGTTGGCAGGAAAACCAGGAGGAGGAGAAGCCACTAGGAAGGCCAAGGAATAGGTGGGTGGATAGTATTAAAATGGATCCCAGATAGGATTGGGTAATATGAACTGGTTGATCTGGCTGAGGATAGGAACCAGTGGAGGACTCATGTAAACAATAATTAACCTTTGGGATTCATAAAATGTTGGGTTGTTCTTGAGTAGCTGTACAATTGGTGATTTCTCAAGAAGGGCTTGGTTCCATGAAGTAAGTTATAACAAATCTGAACTACATAAAAAAAACTTTATAAACATTTAATAAATTCACAATTGAGAGATATTAATGGAGTTGGGTTTTTAGACTTTCTGCATCATCGAGTATTCTAAAAGCATTAAGAGAATACAACGTTTTGGGTACTGGATATTTCCATCCTCAGGAAACACACTGAAGTCTCGGATATTGTTGTTAACAGACTTAAAATATAAACTGTTTAAACCAGGGTTGTAAGATCTATAAGAACCGAACTGCACAGACAATTTCACTGAGGTAGGCTTAGGCCCACTGGCCATCTACTGTCAAAGAAAAAGAAAAACACGGATCACCAATTAAAAGTCATCTGCTTAGCGATCCGTGTACTACCTACCTACTATGAAAATATAAAATGGCGCTGTGCTGTTGAGGCTGTCGCGCATGTGTTTTATTTACTCGCAATGGCAAAATCTTTAAATGATTTCTTACCAATTTTCGAACGTTTAACAAAGAAACCTGAAGATTATTTGAGGTATGACGTTAATTCTCCATTCGTAACAGTTATAAGCTTTTGTGTAGTATCAGGTATCATTGAATGTACATGTTTGTGTTATATTTTCGTGGATAGCAAATGTCTTATGTTGAGTTTGTTTCATTCACAATTGAGTGGTGACAGATGTTAAGCAAATGATATTTCTGTGCCAAAGTATATATTTGAAATATGTTTAGTGTAAGCAGCTTCATTTGTTTTAAATGTAGAAACGATGTCTTAACTGATAGACGATCGTCAGAACGTTGAAGAATCTACATACCCATCTCATTCAGCGATTTGTTTTCGTCCACAAAATTTGCGACGAAATTCGCAAACTTGGAATTTTAATGAACCCCAGTGAGGAAGATCTCGCGTTATCATGCATTATTATATTGGTAGAAGCGCCTCGCAGAATGTAAAGAGATTTTACTACAATTTGCTTTTGTAATGAGGTGGTTAGCATAGGCCAGTGTTAGAAGCCAAACTTCTTTTTGAATAACGGAGAATGGTGTCTGAAATGGTGACCGTTCTGACTAGTATATGAGAGGTATCCAGTTGGAGTCTTGGTTTGGGACACCAACTGTCCTGACAGGTTTTTCATGGTTTTCCTCAGTTCCTCTAGGTAAAAATTGGGGGCATTACCTCAGATCAGGACATGATTGTTTACATCCACATCCGTTCCCATTCATTTCATTATCTCCTTCAAGTGCTGAAGTTAAGAATGCATGGAACTGTACCTCCACTCAACGATATATCTTTTTGGCACAGAGACAACTCTGTCTTGTTAACTTTATGATACATTTGTTATTATTCGATGATGTCTTCAGTTATGTTTCTTTTTGTTGATGTGAATTCTGTTGTTTGTAGTCATTTGCCATTGTGCAGTGAACTGTTATATTTTAAAATGTGTACAGGATTATGTAAAATGTAATGTAATGTGTGTTAGACATTAATTTTTAGACTGATTCTGAGTACTTTGGATCTGTTTGTTTTCTCCTTTGATTGAACAGTTCATATAATGACAGTTACTCTTTTTCAGTATTTGATGCCATGTGAAATGGTATGTAGGTATGAATGTTTCAAAGGAACCTGCATCAGATCACATAGAACAATACGTAACTGTTGTTATTTGGTTCAGTGTTCAGGATAGTGTTGCTGCGGATGTGAGGGAGTTCCTGAAGGTGCTCTATGACTTCACAAAGTGTATGGAGGATGGCCTGCCATCTGGTGATGCTCTACCAGAATTGATTATACGAGGGTTTGATGAGGAACAGATCTGGCAGGAACTGGAGCTACAGAATGAGGGGCGGAGTCAAGGTTTGATGTCCGATGTGGCAACCCTTGTGGCTCAGAAATATCTGCTGAAGTTTCCTTTTATACTGAAGAGTGAAGAGAGCATGACTGATGATGGGGAGTTGCAGACAGATGGTGACCTAGCATCAGCAGCAGACAGTGAGACAGATATATCGGCTGTCATGGAACCCGAAATGAAGAAATCCAAAGGTCAGCAGACAGATGATGGCCTAGCATCAGCTCCAGACAGTGAGACAGATATGTCGGCCTTCATGGAACCTGTGATAAAGAAATCCAAAGGTCAGTTTGTTTTTTGTGTTCTCTTCACTGTCCAGGGATATATATTGATTTGTATTAATTGATTGATTGATCAGTTGATTCATTTATAGGTTATACAGTGATACTCTTTCAGCAGTGTAGGTCATGTGATTCTGAATTTTTGAGAGGGGGGTACTGTTTAAACCATTTTACTGTAAAGGTGAGAATGATACAATTGGCAAGTGAAAGGGAGAAGTATGGAACAAAAGAGGGAGAGAGATAAAGATGTAAAGGCAATGAGGAAGAGGAGCAAGGAGGTGAGGGATCAAGATAATGATTTTCTCCTCCTCCTCTGGCTGTACGGTCCTTTTAAGTTTAACCTTTTCTTCCCTCACTGTTTCCGTCCTTCTTGTCTGTCTTCAGCCTTTGTTCTCCATTTAAGCAGTCTGGCAGGATTTGTCGGGTTTCTGAACAAGTAATGTTTTCTGGGGAGAAGTTGTTAGCCTTTACGTAACCAATGTTTTCCTGTCTTAGAGGAGTTGGCTTCACCATGTCTAAAGAGCCCCCCCCCCCCCTCGGTTTTTCTGTAGAGGGTTTCCTTTCTTTAGCCAGAGAGTCTTGTTTGAAGGTGCCAGACACCCGCCGTTCATCCCGCTCCATCTGTGACATCTGTTCTCGCACCCCAGAGTGTGTTGCCCAGGTGTCACAATGAGGCAAGGGAGCTACAATTTGCCAGCAGAGCCCCACTTAACAAGGAGTGTTCTGGTATTTAATGGTGTGCACTTACCGGCATCAGTGCACCCCACCAGAGCCGTTTACCAGCCTTTGACCCCCAGTTAATGATTTTCCTGTTATCATTAAATTATGTTTATAGTTGATACAGTGTATGTAAGAATTCTGTACACATAAAAGTGTGTATGTGGGCCTATTTGCTTGAGAAGGTCACTGGCACGAGCACAAGAAGATTGTGACAACCATTATAAGCAGTATCACTTTGCATTGATGTTTGAAACATAATGTTAAATGTTTAAGGTGTATACAGTAACAAAGGAATAGACTTCCAGATGAATTTTCACTGTGCATTACACTAGTTTAGTTTTGGTTATGAATTGAAGGTTTGCAGAAGGAGGCTAGAAATTGTTTCCATGCCAAGCGACTGTTGTTGATGCAGAGATTAGGGCACCAAAATATTTGACTGGTTTGTGGGTAGCCATGTGGCTCTCAGGGTTGTGTGTCGTGTCTTGCAGTGCAGCGCTGTCCATCAGTAGTGGATGATCAGTTCTTCAAGTTGAGCGAGTTGGAGTGTTTCCTGGAGCATGAGGACAAGCGTGAGGCAGGCCAACACAGCGGCAGCAGCGATGAATCTGTTGACTTATTTCAGCCATTGGATGATGATACTGATGAAGTAGGAGTCTGTTCCTTTTGATCCGTCACATGTAGGCATACTGCCATCTTTGTTTTATGTCTGATAGATTTGAATGAAAACATGTAAAATTGAAGAAATTTTAAAGTGGTTTCTCAGTCCATTTATTTATTGTGTATATAATGATACTGCTAGTTCATAATCTTGTGGTCTTCTGGGATGTGACTCCATTTAGTCTGCTAGGTTGGTACTGACATTGTAGAGGAAGCTGTCTGCACTGTACCCTGGAAATGAAGGCAACATGGTTGTGAATAATAAATTGAAGAAGACATGGACAGAGGCAGTTATGGCCTGATTTGGGATACTGCCCCTGTAGTATCTGTTGCGGGCCAGTAGGAGCTCACTGATGTTTCACAGGAACATTCTGCCTCCAGCCTGACCAGAAACCAACAAGCAGAGTGGCCGAGGGTGGAGACATTACATTCCTGCAAAATGTCAATGGACTTCTACTGAACTCCATGGCATTACATCTCAGAAGACTGTACCCCTTATAGTCATCACTGTGGGAATCTCAGATCTAACAGATACAACTACACTCAACTCTTGATTATCCGGGATAATGGTGGGGATGGAAATCACGATTAATCGAAAACCCAGTTAAGACAAATTTTATTAAAAGTAGTACTGTAATACTGTACCTTCATAATACTATAGGCCTACCTGTATTTAAATTTATTCAACCTCATTTTTATGTCACCTCATGGCCTATTTAATACTTTTTTACATTACACTGAAGTATGAATTAGTTATTTCAATCACAGTGTTCAACAACATCCAACACTTTTTACGAATATTCACACTTAACACTTAAAATTTTAATATTGTCGTTTGCTTTTTCAGGGCATTTTCCTTTTTAGGATATCCGTACGAAACCTACGTAATATTAGCTTGTCACTTAATAAACTGTTCTCTTGACTCTCAAGATAGTCTAGTAAGGATTCCAAATGATTAAGAGAAGCACCATGTCATATTTTCTTACTAGCAGCACTGTCCACCTCTTCCTCATTCTCACTTTCTTCCCTCTCTTCTGGCTGCACCCCCCCTGAACTTACGATTTCGTCACTGCTTAACATTTTGAAGCCTGGCTCACATGAGTTTCTGTTGAATACTTGACACAGCACGCTTCCTTTTACACCCTGGCATTTTGCTAATGCACTTGAAGATCAATACTAACTGGGGCGGTGTATCTGTCCTTGAAACTTTCCACAAATTGTTGCATTCTTTCACCCCTACCATAGAACATTGTGTTAGCATAACGGGACCAAAAAATGCAGAGCTCGGTTCACACTAGTGCGAAAATAGTGTTACAACTCACCATGTGAAACAAAAGTGAATGAATATTAAACAACATATAAGCCTCAAAAAAGCCCCGATTAAGCCGCAAACCAGTTTATTCACCCTCGGATAATCGAGAGTTGAGTGTATTTTATATGCAGGGTGGGGTGCAGAAACTTCCTTTTTTTGAAGGCGAATAAAAGAAAAATTATTGGTGTTAGACAAGATTTATGTGTAGCTAATGAAAGAACATACTTTAAAGTTTTAAATCATGTAGTTTTAAACAAAATATGTTGAAGGCAGTGGCCACCATTCTCTATGCACTGATGCAACCGTTTTCTGAAGTTCCCCTCTGCACGTTCCAACATGTGCACCGGAATTTGGGCTACTTACTGCCAAATAACATTCTTCAACTGAAGCAGGTTTGTGGGGCGATGTTTAAAAACCTCTGCCTTGAGGTATCCCCATTAAAAAATATCACAGGGCATTAGACCAGGTGAGTGCGCTGCCCACGGGATGCCACCTTGAAGCGAGATGAGCCGTCCGGGGAACTTTGCCCTCAAAACTGTCATCGAAGCTTGGGCTGTGTGGGCCGTGGCACCATCCTGTTGGAACCAGACATTTCCTAGATGCATTTCTTCAAGAGCTGGTTCGAAAAAGATCTCAACACCGACTGTCGAACTGCCTCCAAACGCACGCTGCTCACTTGTCCACCTCATGATTCCTACTGACTGGTATTAGAAACTTCTGCTACTGCTGTGTTTGCCGAGCCAATCCCCACTTTTCTGTGACCTCTCCTCCCTTCACAATGCCTCGTAACAAAAAGGAAGTTTCTTCACCCCACCCTGTATTTGTTGTTTATGTAATGACATCAGTATCCTGTGCTGTACTTTGGTTTGCTGGTATCTGATTTTCTGCGCCATGGTTGTAGGAGGCTGAGGGTCCACACTATGGAGACTTCTTTGATGCCCCTCTTGAAGGTGGAGAGGTCCAGAACCTGCGGGATGAGAGTGACTCAGACTGGATGGAAGTGGGAGAGAATGATGAAGATGCAGCAGATGGGAAGTTTGATGCAGAGGAGGAGATCTATACCAAGAAAGTTCGGTGAGAAAGTTGACTGACATTCACAAACTCAGTCTGGAGTGCTGACAATGTTCTCTAACAACAACCCCCCCCCCTCCCCATCTGTGCATGCTGGCTCATGCCATTGTCTTCTGCTGGTCCTCATATTCCTGCTCTTCCATCATTTCCATTTTATGCTAGTCGGTGGATGAAATGTATCCAGCGTCCCTTATCTTCTGACGTTCTTCCCTTTTTGATTGTTTGTCATCTGTTTCCTCCCTGGCTGTGTTCCAGCATGTGGCTGAACCCTTCTGTACAGTTTAAGTATCTTTAGAATATAGTGCTGGTTCCGTGTGTCATGCTTACATGCTCATCAGTCATGAGACTAACTGTTCAGTTGGTTCGAGGCTAGTTGGACTGTGTGTCATTTAATGGTACTACACTAAATGTGAGCTTAAGTATGGTGTTCAACAGAAAGGACTTGGGAACAAGCGTGTCAGTGTATATTTCTGAATACTCTGTCCACGCTTTCCTGTAACCAGTGCAACCAACAACTGGGGAGCAGGCTTATTAATGACAAGATTGGCAACGTGTTTCCTGCACAGTGTTCCAGTGAATGCCAGTCTGTGAGATTCATGATTAATAATAAACTGAAAGAATTTCAGGAGGAGAAGGAATTGTACAGCAGCTAGGAAAGGTGGCATTAGTGAAAGTTGTATAAGAGACTGGAGGAAGCTGTAGAAAGCACTAGCAGCTGGAGGGCTTTATCTGTAAATATATTTCTTTTTTAATATCACATAGCTTTATGTTTCATTTGAGGAAGTAGTATTGAATAGTGTGCCACTGTAATGTAGTTGAAACATTATTTTGCTTCATGTTGATGTTTCAAGATGTCACATCCTGTAAAGTACATGGCAGTAGTGGAAATAAATGAAGGGAGCGAGTTCCATTGCGCCATGTGTTGTGTGCAGTTTTCAGAACATGTATAGTGTATGCTTCATAAACACATTCACTTTCGTGGTTATTTTTAATTTCTTTTAAAATATGAGATGTGCTGGATACTGGAGAAAATACTGTGTTACCCCAGAATCCACACAAAGTGTCTGTAGAATATCAGTCAAGAAGTCTGCTGTACTGGTTGAGAAACTCGTAACCTAATATGAGATTTGAGGTTCTCATGGTAGTGAGTATTAGTATATGGTCCCATGCTGTGTGCATCTCGTAGCGGGTTACCCTACTGCAGCCATCTTCAGAGCAGAGTATGAGTTTTAAGGGAATCCAGTCATATGTTTCAGGTTTCATGAGGCAAGAATGTTTGACAAGGAGAATGAAGCAGAGGAAGCCAAGTCGAGTCTGGAGAGGAGGCAGGAGCGTCTGCGGGCAAGGCTGGACGATCTAGAGGAACAGGCATTGGCAGAGAAGCCTTGGCAACTGAAAGGCGAGGTCTCTGCTTCTGCTCGGCCACAGAACTCGCTGCTAGAAGAAGTGGTGGAGTTTGACCTGACCATGAGACCAGGTGAGAATGTGGTGGGGTTTGACCTGACCATGAGACCTGGAGAGAATGTGGTGGGGTTTGACCTGACGAGACCAGGCAAGAATGTGGTGGGGTTTGATCTGACCATGAGACCAGGTGAGAATGTGGTGGGGTTTGACCTGACCATGAGACCAGGCGAGAATGTGGTGGGGTTTGACCTGACAATGAGACCAGGCAAGAATGTGGTGGAGTTTGACCTGACCACGAGACCAGGTGAGAATGTGGTGGTGTTTGACCTGACCATGTGATGAGGAAAGAATGTGGTGGTGTTTGACCTGACCAGGGGACCAGGTGAGAATCTGGTGGGGTTTGACCCGACCATGAGCCAGGCAAGAATGTGGTGGGGTTTGACCTGACCAGAGGAAGAGGCCACAGAAATGCATTACCATTTCATTAGTTAGTTACATAGTTATGTGTTTACGGGCCTGTATGTCACAGTCAAAGTATTTTGTTTTCATGTTGCAAATTAGAAACTATTGTAAGCTTTTACTTTGTGTCCTTAGTTTTAGATAATTTAAATTTATGTTAGCACAAGTTATACATAAACACAAATGAAGAAGTTGTGTAACTCTGTAATATATGCTCATTTCATACCTGCAGATGGAAGCATTTGACGGAAGGCAGGATTCTTATGTTTATCTTCTCCTTGTTCATAACAGCAGTATGGTACCCTTTTTGATGTTGAATTCAGTAGGTTCAAGTTAAAGTAAGTTGTGGTCACTGAACATTTTTTCTGCAGCCCCTGTGATCACAGAGCAGACCACATTGCAGCTGGAGGACATTATCCGACAGCGAGTGAAAGATCGGGCTTGGGATGATGTCGAAAAGAAAGTGAAACCTGTGGAAACCCCTAACGAGTATAAGAAGAAGCTTGTTCTAGATCATGAAAAGAGCAAACTCAGTCTTGCCCGGATCTATGAGCAGGTCAGTGTTGCACACTGCACATCAGAGCTAGCAGTCAGCTTCTAGACATGCAGAGGCTGTTGTTCATTTTTGCTGACATGACAGTCTTTGAAAACAATTCTGAGGGGTTCTGGCATTGGTACATTATAGAGTTGCTGAGTCGCTAGAGATTTCCTCCACTGTGAAAAACTGTAACATTTCTTTTTATTCTGTGTCTTCAGTATTTTAGACTTCTGTTGCGCAAGTATTCCTTTCTTACACTGCTGAAAATAAACACTTCATATTTTCTGTTTTTTGGTTTCTTGTGGCAGTGAATATTATGGTCACAGTCCTCTTGGATTGATATATGAAGCCCCCCCCCGAAGTCTGATCTTTCAAAGCCCTAAAATTTACCGTGTATATGGCTGTTTTGTAATACAGTCTGTTGGGTCTGTATATGGTATTAACTTGTTGCCACTGGGCATGCTTAGAAGCTCTTGTTCATGATGTTACCAGGACTACATTAAGCAGCATGAAGCGCAGGAAGCAGCTCCTCAGGACGGGCAGCCACAAGAGGAGCCACCCGAACACCATACAGTGCGGATCATGATGGCTTCTGTGTTCTCAATGCTGGATGCACTGTCTAATTTCTATTTCACACCTAAACCAGTAAGTGCAGTGCCGAGTAAAACTTTATTTTAGCCTTAGCTTAACCTTCCAAGGTCTTGTCCTGGCTGTCCAGCCCATAGTTCGAGCGAAACTAGTATTAATTTCTGTGTACAGTACAAAGTTCTCTAAGTAATGATGAGAGGTTATACTTAGTTTTTGTGTTGCAGCCGGCCCCAGAAGTGAAGATTGTCAGCAACATACCAGCCATTAGCCTGGAAGAGGTCGCACCTGTGGCAACCAGTGATGCAGCCCTCCTAGCACCAGAAGAGGTGCAAGGTAACCATGTGTCATGTCTGTTTTGGTCGCATGCAGTCATTGTCATTTTCTTTTAATGTTTCAGTTTTTGTGTAGGTTGTCTAAGACAATTGTTGCTCAACTCGTGGGACTTTATGCTTGTTGGAGGGACTGTGAGGTCTCAGAAATGAGAAATTCAATTGGTGATTAATGTGTGATACTAAAAGTCCATGTAAATATAAAAATATACTTCATGGAAAAAGATACTTTATGAAGGATTTGATACTTTAATGGTGACTAAACGTAACTCAGATATTTCCAAGCAATCGGCCATGTCAGCATTTGGTTAAAATCAAGGTTTCAGAGTTATCCTCCACCTCTATCAACAGGGCTGATATGAATGATCAAGTGTTACTGATGTGCATATGTGCATGCACGTGCGCACTGTGTGACAGGACTGCTGCCCTCCTGCCCCACAATATGCCAGCAGGATGAGGCATGGATTTGACAGGCTTGATATATGTATCAGTGGCCACATTGACTCAGATGTTGGAGATGCATGAGATCTCTGAAATGCTGGTTTGTCACTCCTGATCACCTGAGAAAATATTAGTATGAGAGAAGCTGTGTTTCTGCTACGTACAGTGGGGTTGTAGGATTTAGGGTGCAGTCACTAGTCTGATATATTCCAGAGTCTGCATCTTCTGTCCTGAAGAGTGAGGCAGCAGCAGGTGCTCATTTACCAAACTGCATGGTGTCACATGCAGAAGATACGATCAGTGGCTTGCAAACCTCAAATCTTACAAATGAACACACACAGAAGTAATCTTTTATAGTTGATACATTGTTATTAAAAAGCCTGTGACATCTGCAGGAGTACCATATTTATTTGATATTCTCTTATGACAGGTCGACTGAAAGGTGATTTGATTGGCAAGGCTGAGCGTACATCTTCTGACAAGAAGAGAGAACGTCGACACAAGAAAGTCAGACAGAGGGAACGACAGCGTGACAGAGATAAGAGGGAACGAGCAGTTGAGAAGTTGCGGCCAGGCCTGGGGAACAAGTACAGTAAGGCTCAGGCATTGCGAGACCTGGAGAAAGCCACAAAGAACAGCAACATGACACAGGTACAGTTGTCTGACGTGACTGTCCCAATTCCTTGTAGAGTTTAGGAATTTCTATTTATCACTGGTGATGACTAAGCTGTTTGTTGGGCTGCACCGTAGCTCATGCAGGCTCAGAATCTGGTCAGTTTGTGTGGATTTCTTACTAGACAAAGTTACACAGAGGCAGGGTTTCCTGTACCAGTTCTTATTCCACCAGATGCTCCATTCTCTCATCTACCGTCTGGGTTTGGCACAGCAGGAAGTTTAGTACTTGAGTACCGGAACTTCGTCCCACCCCACCCTAAGTAAGGGAATAAGAAATGTTTCATTCCCTACTGCCAGCATGCAGTAGGCCAATGTAATACAGATTCAGAAGTGTCATGGGTTTGACCATGTCCTCCTGTATGGTTACACATGTTTTATGTTGTGCAGGTTGCTGTGAAATGCTTAGGTTACAATGAAATGCTGCCTCACATCATCTGCTGTAGTTTGTAGATATAGAGGGTGAAGTCTCTAGGCCACTATGAGCAGGCTGTATGTTTCTGGTTTGTCTAACCTTGGGAGTGTTTTCTTCAAACAGCAAAGTTTAATAAGCACCACATTTACCAGCTCGATCTCAATCTGAAATCTGCCTTAAATGTCATGTATGCATTTTAGCCACTGCATAAATGCTGTTGTACTCTTTGCCAAATATAATTAGAATGATCAAGTTGAGGATGAGATGGGCAGGGCATGTTACATGAATGGGGAGAAGAGGTATATTGGTGGGAAGGCCAGAAGGAAAGAGACCACTAGGAAGACCAAGATGTAGGTGGGTGGCCAATATTAAACTGGATAAGATGGGGTGATATTCACTGGATTGATTTTGGTCATAATAGGGACCAGTGGAGGGCTCTTTTGAACATGGTAATGAACTTTTGGGTTCTATAAAATCGTAGGAAATTCTTGAATAGCTGCACAATTGGCAGCTTCTCAAGAAGGACTCAGCTCCATGAGTGAGTGAACATAAATGCTGTTTCCATAATAACAGCAATCCCAAAAATGGGTATTGTCAGTTTCACATAAAAGCATGGGTATTGAAGGTTTTCCCCAGCACCGCCTGATAGTGCTGTTAATGTCTAGATGAGTTGTGGGACAGTGTAGCACTCGTCAAGGTGTTTCGTGGACAAGTTAGGAAGTGAAGGTGAGTACAAGAAGCTTTCTTGCTTTCTCTCTGAGATCCAGTATTGTGAATTGCACTGCGTACACACACAGTTTAGTGCAGGAATTTTGGATGATTACTAACTGTGAAATGTTAATGTTCTTGTATTGCCATGCTGCAGGTTGCTGAGAAGCCTCATGCAAAGGCCATTCGGTCGTCATCAGCATTCTTCAGCCGTCTGCAGGATGAAGTGAGGAGCCATATCAAGATGAAGACTGCAGGTAGCAGCCAGGGTCAACAGAAGGATGTTAGGTCTGCCAAGAGAATGAAGTTGTGATGTGCGTTTTGCATCACACTGGCTCCTTTTGTAGCATCTCGGGACTTACAGCAGGTCGATCACGCAGGCCGAGTTTGTTGTTACTTCTGTATATAAATTAAATTGGTTGAATGAACCAACTGTGGGCATCTGTCTTTACATCCCCACCCTTCCAGTGAACCTCAAGCTCTTCCTGCCTCTGTTCCCTTCTTTGCCAGTGGACCAGGAAAGGAAACAGATTCAGCCCTGGCCTGCCATGTTCTGGTTTTGTTTTCTGTTGCATGGAATTCATGTATATTGTTATGTGTATGAGTGACTATATGGGGTTTTGATTGGTAATTGGAGTAATTGACCACTTAGAAGTAGCTATACTGCTATCACTAATTCACACACACTGCAGTTCACTATAGCATGTATTAAGTGTTCTCAGTCTGCTGTGTCTTCACCAGTCATTGCCTGGTAACACCTTCCAACAGTGGACATTCCCTTTACTTTGGTTCCCCTACTATCCCCATGCCTCAGGTACCAGCTTCTAACAGCAGCAGTCCTCTAACTCAGTGGTTCTAGATGTTTATGAGACCGCGGCCCAGTAAGTTCTTTCTTTATAAGACGAGGGCCCAGTCCCAACAAATTTACTCGTAAATACCTTTCCAGTTTTGTTAAAGTTCATGCATTAAGTTAACTATAAAATATTTATTCATGAAAAATGCTTAGAAAATGAAAATGACAAATTTCAGAAGAGCCTCTCGCGGCCCAGTGTAATTGATGCCAGGGCCCGCTACTGGGCCACGGCCCGGCGGTTGAGAAGCACTGCTCTAACTCACTAACTAACCAGCTTGCCACATAGCACTGCACTGCACTGCACTGAACTGAACTCAGTTGGTTTTGTGATATAGCCTCAGGGTGTATCACATAGGAAATATCACTTCCAGCAGTGCTTCCACTGTTGGGCTCAGGCTGCTGCCTAGCAGCAGCCGTGGTGTCATTTGTTTTGTGGTCATTGCCTAGCAACAGGCCTATTTGCCACAATATGTTAAAGGATGGCACTCCCATGCACTGTAATTGATTTTCAACATATTATGCTGCTCACCCTGTGATAGAACAGTCAGTATAGCCACTGGCTATGGGCTGGATGACCTAGTGGTCAGAGTTTGAGTCCTGGTAGGGTCAAGAATTTTCTCTTCTTCACATTGTCTGGGCTGGCCCTGGGGCCCACCCAGCCTCCTATTCAATGGGTACTGCAGGCTCTTTCCCCTGGGGTAAACTGGCAGGGACAGAAGGCTGAGCACTCACCTCCAGCTAGTGCTGAGGTCAAGAAAATGTGGATCTGCACTTCCACTCCCCCATATGCCTTCGTGGTGTAGTACTTAATTAATTAAACAAAGGGGACAACTTTTCTTTTTACCTTTAGCCTGGATACGGAGATGTAAGCCTGTAAGCCAGTGGTTAGGACTTAGAGGTAAGTTGTCCAGGGGGAAGTGAGTAGTCAGCGCACACTGCCTTCTGGGAAAGGGTAAAATGTTCACGTAGTATAAACCACTCTGTGTACGTAGTCTTTACATCTCTTGTGTGCAGCAATTTCTTCAGCTATCCTGTTTTGTGTGGGTCAATGGATGGGAAGTCCCCAGTGTCATGTCTCTTCCCCATCATTTTTCCTTTTTGACTTCTTGCCAGCTCTTTCCAATCTTCTTGATCACTTCCAGTGCCTGGCTGAACTGTCTTGTTCTGTAGGTTTCTTTGTGTTCCTGTCAGATCAGGGTGATATATTGGTATGACAGGTGACGAAGTGGAAATGATTGGAGCAAGCCATCATGGCCCCAATCCAGGTGCAGTCCTTGCATTTGTGTGGAGGGACAGAAAATTACAAGAAATGTCAGTCACGATAACTGGTGTCTCAGTTAAGGTTTGAATCGACCACTTCCCGAATATGTGTCTGCAATTACAGCTAGACATCTCCTCCCTCATCTTGCTCCAGGTCTTCTCATAGGTCTCTTTCCTTTGAATTATAATTTAATGCCTTAAAATTTAAGTTGATCAATTTATTTCCACTTTGCCACCATTCCTATTCAAGTAACACAAGTTAAAAATGGGCAGGGAATATTGCATGCATATAAAGTTTTTCTAGGAAGACATAGTCAGAGATGGGATGATGACATTCAAATGGATCATAAGGAAGGAGGATGGAAGGGTGTGGACTGGACTCTTCCTGCTCACGATAGCAATCCGTGGTGGGCTCTTGTGAACACAGAAATGAACCTTAAGGTTCATAAAATGCTGGGAAATTCTTGAGTGGCTAAGCAACTAGTAGCTTTTCAAGAAGGACCCAGATCCAGTTAGTTAGTTACTTGGGACATGGGAAATTTTATGAATTGTATCCAGTGTTTCTGAAGTTACAAATTTCATAGGAATGCAGTTGAGCTGTGAGTGCAGGCTTGAACACTCATATGGCCAGATCAGAGGTAATTGTTTACAGTGCTTGGGCTTTCTGGTTGTGAGAATTGGCGCTTACTGTATTACCAGTGACTCCTCATCGTGTTGGGAAGTAAGTGGTCTGTGCGATGTGCGTAAGTTATGTGGACAGCAGTGTTTACTGAGTACATTATTCCATGATTACAGAGACAGCTAAGGTGTCTGAAATTCAGCCGCTGGTCACTAGAGAAGATTTTCTCATTTATAGTTGCCATGAAAGATTGAAGTTTTGTACAATTTGGGAGCAATTAAGGGCTGAGTCCTTGAAGAACGTTACACACAACATTTGAGCAATACAGATGAGAATATCCAGTAAACAGGCACAGAATTAATGTAGGCAGAGAATTATGGTGTAATGGAGTTTAGAGAAGAGTAAAGTTGTCTGTATGCATAATTAAACACCATGCCATGAAGACAGTTTGTTCTCCTAAAACATCAGTAAATTTCTGCCAGGCTTTTATGGAGTTATCCCAGAAAATAATACAATATTATTTTGCACAGAACTGCAATTGAGATTTGCTTCGTGCCACACATCAGAGAATGTTTTGTTGGCTCTTATAGGTCAATTAGTAAAATTACCCAATTTATGACAATGGAGACCAAAGTTCAGTTCGTGGACAGTTTGTTTGAAATTTGTGGGGTAAATCTTTATAATGAAAATACATAAAAAACAGTCGTAGAGTGTGTATTCTGTCATGAGTTCCTTCAATATAGGCAACATGTTTCAGCACATTTATGCATAAGCTTTTGTAATATGGGGGAGTGTACATCCAGTATGTATTTAATTTTGCATACATTTGCGCATCAAATGCCTGTTAAGAATTAAAATTTATTCTTGCGTATAATATTAAATGCATACAATTGTCAGAAAGTAATGGATCATGTACTATATGTCATGTAAATTTCAGCAGTGCAGGTCTAATTCTTCGTTAGAATGTTGAGAATATTTCTTGCTTTGTGGGATTTGCCATTATGAGGTTTTGCATAATATGCTTGCTGGTTATCTGTATAGCGTACATGTTGACTTGAATGTGGGCATTGACCAAGTGATGTTTGATTGGCAAGACATAAAATAGTATATGCTCTATTTACATTCCTCTGTGTATCGTTGCTCATAATGTATGACAGGGCAATATCACAGCTTTGTCCTCATTTGGGACATCATATATGGTGCAGCACTTGCTGAGATTCAGATGAGGGAAGATTTTGTTGTATCTTGCAGCTTACAGGGATGTATATAGTGGGATTGTGTCATGTAGACAGGAACCTCTTCAGTGCAATACTTAACAATCTTTGACCATTTTCTGTAAGACCCCACCTGCTGCAAGCATGTTCTGATCTTGCATCATGTGATTTCTACCTCTTTAAGAGATGAGGGATGGTTGAAAGCTGATAATTAAGGGATACAACAGAAATTCAAGTGGCCTTAAAGACTAAGTTGCAGAAGATCACATGTTATAATGTACAAGATATACATATTTCAATCATTTGAACTAAAAAGGTAAATTTGTCCTTGTGCTTAAGTAATTAAGCATTATGTTGTGAAGACATATGGGGGAGTGGATATATAGATCACATTTTCTTGACCTTTGCTCTAGTAGGAGGTGAGTGGCCAGCATCACGCCATGGTCATTTTAGCCCCAAGGAAGGAGCCCACAGTACCCATTGGATGGGAGGTTGGGTGAACCACAGAGCCAGTGTGGATGTGGTGAAGACAAAATTCTTGATCCTACTATTTTTATTTGAACTCTGACCCCTCAGTCATTCAGACTTTAGCTATTTGCTATGCCAGCTACACTGTCCCAGCTCCTAATGCTGGTAAAAATGTGTAACTGTGGAAGGATGTTGTTTTGGAAGCAAGGTGTTGAAGCCGCCAGGGTTACTGAATGTGAGGAACAGCTGCTATTGCAGATTTTTTTGGAGTACTATCTTTAACCTTTATTTAATAAATATTTTGTATGCTGAATTGTTTTGATATACTTAATGCTAGTTGATTTCAGAATAAGATATTGTTGATGGATACTGAATGTGTTAAAGAAAAACCTCAGTCATTTCTGCTGCTGCCTCTTATATCGATATTGTAGATGCTCTTCTGTTGCCTCGTATATCGATATTGTAGATGCTCTTCTGTAAGTTCAGTTGAGTTGTGTAGTCTGAAACCAGGCCTGAACCATTTAACTTACTATGAAGCGTTCAATATGCAGTGCATAAATCGAACAGTGTTTTGCAGATTTCATGTCAGAAAACACGTAACAGAGTTTGATGAAATTTGGTATATGGTGTTAGTACCAACGGTTTGTTTGCAGAATTTAATGTTAGTTTGACTGGCTGATTAGTAGTTCTTTATGTAAGAGAAAAGCCATTTTTCCTATATTTAAATATACACCAGATCAGGAAGTGCCTTGTAACAGGTGTACACTGAATATAATAAGGCATGCAGCTTTCTTTATGCATTGTGCCCAATTAACTCAAATGTAGTTTAAACCCTTTGTGTATTCACAGTGGAATTAATGTGTACTCCTGTGTTTGACTGTTTGAAAACGTCAATTTTGCTGTGTGCATCAGTTCAGAAATCTGAAGGAGTGTGCCAGGATATCAGGATAACAGTATACTTCGAGGTGGCTCGTATTGTCATTCGGATCTTAAGATTTATTAATTGTTTTGCAG